TGTTTATTATTTTTTTTTTTTTTTTTTTGTCGTTCTCTCTACTTGGACTTGATAATTACACAAATTTTGTTAGAGAAAACTATGTTTGTATTTGCTAAGAATTTCTTGCCTCATTGTAATTTAGAATTGCATAATTGCGTGCATAGTTTCGAATTTCACGACTACAGAGCTCGCGTGAAATCAAAGAAATGAGTGATTATGGTGTATTTTAATCATAGATCGATTAAATGACGATCAGAAAACAACAATACTGTCGCATTAATCTATCACTCAACTAAAAAAGTTATGTTAAGTAGTTGAAGTATATGTTTAAATTTTTTGATTTTTGGTATTCTCAATGTTTATCCATGGAGTACCATTGGATTTAAATTTCCAGACAACCAGGCAATGGAGAAGGATATTTCCTTGTATTTCTTTGCAAAGCTACATTATCAAGATTCACTTCTTGGGTTGCCTCTCTCAATGGCATGCCATTATTTGTTGTCTCATTTTAGTGAAATCGTGTTACCTTTGGTTCTTGGGACAGGACATATTGAACAATGCCTTTTAGTGGTATTTGCCCTGTTATTCTGCTGAAATCAGCCGCAAGAGCAGGAATATATCTAGTGGACTCTTGGATGTACGTGAAGGAGTATATTGATTTTTCATGATGGTGACAACTCTATCGTTTGCATCCGGAAGCGTTGGAAATAAACATTGCTGCTTGGAATTTCCTAGTTTGTATATTGTTGAAGGTTTTTTGGCTGGCAAACTCCTTAGAAGTTCTTATAGAAGAGGGTATGAATTTTGGTTGGATGATCCAAAATTTCCCCGGATTAAGAGCAGGAACAGATTTTGTGTCACTGCAAAGGTTAAAAAGTGGAGGAAGCACGATTATCCTTGGCCGGATGATATGGATCCAAACATTAAAAGTGGTCATTTGACTCATCTGTCTAACTTCAAACCTCTGACAGAGAAACCAAAATCCGTCACACTTCCATTTGAGAAGCCTCTGGTTGATTTAGAGAAGAAGATTATTGAGGTAAATTACCTTCTATGAGTTTGAGAAATTTTCAGGAAATCTTCTGAACATTATTTTCATGAATTTGACATCTTTCAGCAATGGTTTGTCTCACTGAAGGAGCTTTTTAAAGCTTGGCAGAATACTATGCTAAATCACCTTCTTTTCCTTTTTCTTAATGTTATTATGCTTTGAAAAGCCTTGTGTAGTTCATAAATCACTCATATATGAAATGGAAATCTCTGGGTAAGGCATTATTTAAAGCTTTGGACATGAGATATCAGTCGAGCTAAACCATAACTTAGAAGCTTCTCATAATATATTTTGTATTAACTCTCTCTCTCTTTCAGATCCGTAATTTGGCTGATGAAACCGGTCTGGATTTCAGCGATCAAATTGGTATCCTCAAGAACAAGTATCAGATGGTATGTTTAGTTGTATTGCCCTGTATTATTTCGTTTGTCTGCTTATCCTGATGTCGTATTCTTTCTGTATTAAGTGTTTTTTCTGCTCTCTGTTCCAAGTCCAGGTTCTTAAAGATTTGTACACACATTTGACACCAATTCAGCGATTATCAATTGCACGACATCCCAATAGACCGACAGTTCTTGATCATATATTAAACATAACAGACAAGGTTCCTCACTCGAATTTTTACATTTCATTTATAGCAATGAACGTTAACTTTTTATCTTTTTGTTTCGATCAGTGGGTAGAACTCCATGGAGATCGTGCTGGGTATGATGATCCAGCAATTGTTACTGGCATTGGGAGCATTGAAGGTAAAAGCTACATGTTTATAGGGAATCAGAAAGGTAGGAATACCAAGGAGAACATTTCTCGGAACTTCGCAATGTCAACCTCTCATGGGTAAGCTTAAAGACTCCATAATCAAACCAACAATTAGGAAGGTTAGAATGAGTACAAAATGAAATATTTTGACTAGTCTTTCGAAGTCAGAGAGAATGACCTTGATAGCAAGAGTTTGGAGATACCCTCCGGTACTTTATGTTGTTTGAAACCCAAATAATGGTGAGGTGAAAATGTTCACCGGAAAGGCTCTCGAGTCAATATGAGCAATTTTTCTTTTTGTTTGGTAAATTTTGGGTATGCTAACCAAAACCTGTCAAGAAAAACAGCTACCGGAAGGCTTTGAGGATGATGAAATATGCGGATCATCATGGTTTGCCTGTTCTTACTTTTGCTGACACTCCTGGGGCATTTGCTGATCCAAAATCTGAGGAACTTGGACAAGTGGGTGACTCTTTTCATTTCAGCATGGAAATTGAACTTTGGTGTTGATTTGATAATATGGTATTGGCTCAACAATTATCTAATATTTGCAGGGTGATGCAATAGCCCAAAACATAAAAGCCATGCTTGCACTAAAGGTCCCCTCTGTAACAGTGATAACTGGTGAAGGTGGTTCAGGAGGTGCTCTTGCCATTTCTTGTTCAAATAAAATTTTCATGATGGAAAATTCTGTTTTATATGTTGCAAGGTAAGACAACTTTATTTCTTATACTACAAAAAAAAAAAAAAAAAAAA